TCGGCGATGGGACCGATGTGACAAAAACTCTTGGACTCATCTGGGAGCCTCGAAAGGATAGCTTCGTATTCACTTTCGAGCCCAAAATTAGTGTTGGAAAACACACAAAACGTTCAGTTCTGTCAACCATTGCGCGATGCTACGATCCGTTAGGTTTGATCGGACCAACATTAACTAGGGCAAAAATCATCTTGCAACGCATGTGGAGAGACAAGCTACAATGGGATGAGAGTCTACCACAATCATTGGAAACGATTTGGAGCGAATTTTGTAAGGACTTTCATCAAGTGAGCAATGCAACCTTTCCTCGTTATGTACTCGAACTTAAAGCAAGAGTTGAATTACATGCCTTCTGCGATGCTAGCCTTCAGGCCTATGGCTCTTGTGTTTATGTTCGGTCATCGAAGAATAATGCTGTTAAAGTGCATCTACTCTGTTCCAAGGCTAGAGTCGCCCCACTAAAGACCCTCACTGTGCCTAAGCTTGAGTTATGCGCTGCAGATATGTTATCTAAAGGAGCAGCACCGTTAGAGCTCTTGCACTCGAAATTATGGATGCATGGACCTTCTTTTTTGCAAGAGGAAAAATGTTATTGGCCTAGGCACTGCTTGCCTGAAGCATGCTTGCCTGAAATGCGTCAAAGAGTCTTGCTGTCGGCAGAGCATGTGGACATCTCTTTGTCATTCAAGTACATAAATTCATTCGGAATAATGAAGCGAATCTTTGGTTATGTTCATAAATTCATCCGGAAAATAAAATCACCTGAGTTATCATCGGATGATCTGCGTCAAGGATCGTTCCTATTATGTCGTCTTGCTCAAAGAGCTCAGTTGCAACCGGAATACTCTGCCCTACAGAATGGAAGGAATATACACTCGTCAAGCGCCATTCTTTCGCTATTTCCGTTTATGGATGATTTTGGTCTACTAAGAGTTGGTGGTCGTTTGGGGCATTCTACTCTCGGCTTCGATGCGCGTCACCCAATTATTTTACCCAAAAACCATCCCTTAACCTTCGCTATAATATCCCATTTTCATCAAATGCATCACCACGCCGGACCGCAGGCTTTGCTTGCAGCTATTCGATTGCAGTTTTGGCCCATAGGCGGCATGAAAACTGTTGCCCGAGAATTGCGAAAATGCATAATTTGCTGCAGATCCCGGCCTCGCCTAGTTGAGCATATAATGGCAGACTTGCCTAAGGAGCGTGCACAGTGCTCACCGGCATTCACAATCACTGGAGTTGACTATTGTGGACCTTTTTATTACAAGCCCGATGGACGAAATAGAGCATCAGTAAAATGCTACGTCTGCGTGTTCGTTTGTTTCACAACCAAGGCTGTATGGCTGGAGCTTGCAAAGGATCTGTCAACAGCTGCCTTTTTGGGCGCCCTCAAGCGTTTCGTCAGTACGCGCGGCATTCCAACATGCATCTGGTCAGACAACGCAACCAACTTTGTGGGTGCACGGAACGAGTTGGCGGATCTGAGGCGTTTATTTTTGAGCCAGGAACATCGTACTGAAGTTCACAACTACTGCATCAACAACAGCTTCGATTGGAAATTCATACCTCCTCGTTCGCCACATTTTGGCGGTCTTTGGGAGGCAGCAGTGAAGACAGCTAAAAGGCACCTATATCGGTCTATGGGATCGGCACTTCTTGGTTTCGATGAACTGCGCACATTGGTGTGCCAAATTCAGGCTATAATCAATTCTCGTCCTCTTGTTCCAATTTCAGAAAACCCTGATGATCTTGGAGTTCTCACTCCAGGGCATTTCCTGATTGGTCGACCACTTATCGACTTCCCCGAACCAGATCTATCTCGGATTAACTGCAATCGCCTCGATCGCTGGCAGCGTATGACATACATACAGCAGTTGTTTTGGAAGCGATGGAGTGAGGAATACCTCACAATTCTGCAACAGCGAGTAAAATGGCGGACCCCACGGCCTTCTATCAAGGTCAACGATGTCGTCTGTGTAAAAGACGAAAACCTGCCACCTTTGAAGTGGCCATTAGCCCGGGTCGTTGAAATCATCGCTGGAGCCGATGGAGCCGTGAGAGTCGCTGTTCTGCGTACACCCACTGGAACTACACGTCGAGCTGTCAATAAGCTGTGCGTCCTTCCGGTTGATGATCCTGTTAAAAGTCATGGTCTTTTAACGGTGGGGAGGATGTTCGGCGCAGCAGCTAATAATTGCTCTTAATAGTTAAATAAGCTTCTCTTAAGTTAATCTCTTTCCTTTGTCATTCTCATTCGCTGTTAGTGCACTCTTGCACATAACAAAGCATAACACACATACATATGTAAATCTCATCCGCTCTGTTAATTGCATACTCCTCTTTATTTATATTCTTTTAAACTCTGTACGAAAATAGTCTTCATTCGCGCAACACCTACAAACTTGTCACCCTCGCATCGAAATAACTTTGCCTAAACAGTGTCCACAGACTCGGCATTAAATTAATAAATAATAAGCTAAATTATATCGTTTTGGTTTTATTTTTTTGCCTTCGTAAATGATTGGAGCCAGAGTTGTCGAAAAAGCTCGACAGCTTCAAACAATCAATTTATATACACTACTAGTATATTTAGTGAGCTTAATTTGTACAGCCGTGTTCCTTTAATACTGACTTCTTGGAATGTGGAACGATCGTTAGTGTCGTTGTTTACGGGGGGTAGACTCTCTTTAACATTGGTTGAGGAAGGCTGAAGAGGCTTAAACTTGTCCGATGGTATATCACGTGTGTCCCTTTTAGTGCGCACCTAAGTATACATATTAGAGAAAAAAACCGAAAGAGGGAGGGGAGGCACCCACTGAGCTAGGAATACACTTACTTACCCAATCAACTGAAGCACTTTGACAGAGCTGCAGAATTTCCATACATTAAATCAGTTTATTAGACATGACAATACATAGGTATAAATATCTGTATATATTCGAAGTCTTACCACTAATCCGATGAATAGGCAACCGACAATATTACAGAGGTGACTGAACATTTTCGATCCTTCTCACTCTCTAGCCGACTGACAACTGACCCATTCGATTGCGCTGCTGATTCTATAGAACTGAGTAACACGTTTGACTGCATTAGTACGAGGTGAGCGACGCTGAGAGTATCGCTGATTTGCGATCAGGGTTATCTGCGTTACAGGCGTGAAAAGCCACGATTTGCAATGAATAGGCATTAAATACTATATAGCATGCACGCACACACTTCATATTTCTCTTTTAGTTGCATCTTTCTCATTAGAGATGTGACGCTTACAATAATACAATTTCTATATAAATAACACATTCCTGATCTAAAGAACAATAGAAAAGGTTAATACACATCACAATTTCAATAAATCAGAACTCTTCCGCTTAGAGTCAGCCTTATCTATTTATGATATATATTATGTTCAATCTAATATGATTCATGTGAATATTCAATTGCAAGAGTATAATAGTTACCTTTGCTAAGGTAACTATAATTAATTGCTGTATTTTAATTTATTGAGCACGATGCAATAAATTCGATTAATCAACACTTAAAAAGTCTTAACTAGCGCCCGTAGCCATAGGGCGAACCGTAGCCTCCGATGTTTCTCGGATATGGATAGCTGGGTAGAAGCGGTCGTCGTACCACATAGACCGGGGGATAGCCAAAGCTGGGAGGTTTCGCGGAGGGCTTGGGTGCCTCTGGATCAACCTTTGCCTTCTCCCCCTTGGTCATCTCAGAATCGTCTGGAGCGTCTGACTTAGGTTTGTCGCCGCTGATGCCAGGTGCAAAGCCTGGGATAGAAGGTAATCGCCCAGGTTGTGGATAGGGTGAGCCATATGGAGAGAAGGGCGGGCGTAGCATAGGAAAATTTGGATACGGGTAGCCTGGATAGTCCGGGTAATTAGCTGCGACGGAGGGTGTCTCGGTGGGCTTCCCTGAGGCGGGCTTTAGCTCAGGGCTGAGATTTGGTTGAATATAAGTAAATCCATACCCGTACGGATGTGTCTGTGGATAAGCAAGGGGGTTATAAGCAGGACGAAGAGGGAAGTATTGTTCCCTTTGTGGATAAGCCAGTGGATGATACGGAGGAGGAGGAGAAGAGTTTTCTTCCTTTTCAGCCTCAATGGTAGTTGCTGTTGTTATGGTCGTTGAAGGATTTGTCGTTTCCGGCAAGGCTGTTCCCATGTTGATCAGGACATCACCATCATTCATCTTCTGCAGCCCCTCGGCCGCAAGTGCTTTTGCATTCTCTTCAGCTGCAGGCTCTGGAGCAATCGTCGTCGTCTCTAGCTGCTGCTGCCCATCGTCCAGTGTCTGATTGTCGTCGTAAGCCCAGGCCTGGGTGCAGGTGATCGCCAATAGCTGCTCAAAACGAAGCTTTATCACCGAACTTGCTTGGCACCTAAATATATACACTCACCTGAACGATCAGGAGAAGCTTCAAATGCATCTTAGATGATCTCTTACCGAGTACTTAGTGCAGACTGCTGGCTAGAGCTGCGCTTGTGTTGTGTTTATATAGTCCAGAGGTGGATTCAGCAGAGGTAGGTAGATAACTAAATGATTAATATTATTGGCACTGCACTACAAGTAATCTGAATTGTTAATTAAAGGGTCACATTACGCTAATCAAATATGAAATAAAAATAAATGCAATCGAGAGAGATAATTGCAGATTCTAAAAGCTTATAAAATTTTATTATATTGTTTAATACCTTTTATTTTATTTTTAAATACTGATTACCTTAGTTTACTTCACATTATTGTATTGTCAAAAAATATTTATTTTATCAATAATTTGCTCAACTAAAAACCTTGCTGCGCAATGTAGTCGATGAACAAAACTGTAAAGATTGAATGTAGATGTAATGATTTCTTTTTTTAGAGAAGCGAGAATCGGAAACTGAGAACTGGGAATTGCCCTAGCTACGTTCTGTAGTGTATCGAATGAGAAAAGCTTGGGCACAGTCATGCTTAATATTAGTTATGGCCATAAAACCAGGAAACTGTTCGAATCAATTATCAATTTACCACTATAAAGAGTGCAAAGCTCTCTGGCGTACGATTTCTTCACAGACGACCCGTCTAGGCGAATAATTGACATGGTCAAAACCAAGCTGGTAAGATGACGACACCCAGAGCACGGCTAAATCAGAAGAGGTTGCCTTCACATAGGATTCGATCTTTACAGCTATCGCTGCTCTTGCTGCTGATTGCACTCCCGCAAAGAATGGAGGCGAATAATACCAATGAAGCGGAAACAACAACGAAGAACATAGATAATCCAACCGTGGCAGCTCCAACTGTCACAAAACATCCAGAGACAACTGTGAAGAACATAGATAATCCAACCGGGGCAGCACCAACTGTCACAAAGAAGCCAGAGACAACTGTGAAGAACATAGATAATTCAAACGAGGCAGCACCAACTGTCACAAAGAATCCAGAGACAACTGTGAAGAACATGGAGAATGTAACCGGGGGATCACCAACCGTTGCAAAAATTCCACAGACAACTATGAAGGGAACATCCAAGGGATCACCAACCGTCACAGAAATTCCACCCCACCTAGGGGTCACAAGCGACTCTAACAAGACTTCTACGGATTTAATTGATTTGATCACATACAAAGCCCCCGAGGAGGCGAACCTGGAGAATGGCGGCCACCAGATTTCATTACCGGGTAAGAATAAGAATCAGGGCATCCGGCATGTGCACGCCCACGATGGCTTCCACAATATAAAGCGCGAGCCTCTTTGGGCTCACTGGAACGATGCTTTCGAGAGTAAGAAGGCAGCGGCGCAAAATACATAAATACTTACCATTCAACTTCAATAAAGACACCCTGTATAAGTCACCAGCAGCGTGCAGTTGTTGATTAGGCGCTCCAGGCCAAGACAAATGCAATTAGTGGGGCGGCTCAAGGTAAGCCAAACTCTGGCTATCCGGTACAGTTCTTGTGTGTGGGTGCTCGGAATGAAAGCTGATAAAAATACATGCATACGTATTTCTAATATATATCATTATGTGTCCACTGGTGCTCCTCTTTATGATGTCTGCCTGCCTGGCACTGGTCAGAGTCGACGCGAAGCATTATGTGGTACGCGCCCATACTATCAAGAAAGATTTGCAATGGATGAAGATCAAATCGTTGTCGTAACAAGTGCTAAGAACACAAGGCTGGACGCATTGCCAGCACTTCTCACCCACTTCAAATTCCTATTCTGTATATTCAATGAAACATATCCCACGATTTGCATAAACAAATGAACAACTTATTGCATTTTCATGAGCAGCTATAACCTTAGCTACACGTCAATAGATGGCCGGAAGCGTTGCGTCCACTTGAACTAACTCACAATTTTCACAGATTAAATACATTGCTAGTAATTCGTGTCTCTTCACTCTTGTGCTCTTTTTTTCACACATCAACATTTTTGGTTGAAACTCTGTTGTTTTTGTTCAAACTGAATATCTTCGTGCACTGCCATTGCAGCGCCATCTAGAGCTTAAAACATTTTGCCACTGTGGTGAACTGTTGAGTAACAGCTTTTGGTTTGTGAACGCAGCGAAAACTTTATGGGAGCGCAGTCAACTTCACGCAGGTTCGAATTTATCCGCGTAACTAAATGTTGCATGCTTGGTAGTACGATCGAAACATTACTGCATAGAATTAATTAGGCCGCTAATAAACGTTTTAGTTGCGCCTAGTGCTATGCAAACTAAGCCCCCAAGCTAACAGCTAAAGGGCAGCTCATACTGCGCACTGGGAAACGTAACAACCATACATTACCAACCCCGCAATGCTGTTACTAAAGATATTAATGCTGCTGGTTGCTGGCCAATTCTATTTCCAATGTGATGCATCCTGGAAAATGTATGTGAGTGGCGATCGGCCGTGGCATGTGCGAGCCCACAACATGCATCGACCTGCAGCAGAGTACACTACCACGGCATGAGTGAAGAAGACCCCTTGGATTTATGATGAAAATAAAGCATTTGCTATATTTCCTCCATATTCGTTTATAGATTTCGAGCATTTCAGGTGAGTTTTCTTGTAGTTATTGCCGAGTACGGAAAATTAAGATTGCGTTGTCTTTTTTTTAGGTTTGGCAGCGGCCATTATTTAATTTCAACTATTCTTTTTGTTTCTGGCCGCTTAAATATACATAGCGCCCCTGACTTTATGCTTAATTACTTTCAAGTTGGAATTGCCGTGGACTGCATTTAGTTCTTCCATTTGTTGTTCTCGTAGTCCCACTTGGAGGTCAGGCCGGTGACGGGGTTTATCTCCAAGTCGATCATGCGCTTCAATTGCGCCTTCTGGTGCTCCTCGTCGAAGGTGACGGGCAGTTCATCATACACTGCAAGCAGGGATTAGATTTCTCATACGATCTTTAGCAGCAAATGCAAATGCTTACCGAACAGATTCATCAGCACGGCGATCCAGATGGCGGCGGCGGTGAAGATCAGGCCAATGCCCAGGTGCATTTTCCACTCACCAGTGCCGGCCTGGACCTCAGCGATGGTCTGGCAGAAGCTGGCACGGTACAAAGCCTTGATCTCCTGTGGGCTCAGCTTCTTCCAGTCGCCCTGCTCCTTGGTGCGCAGCGCGGTGATTTCATTGTTGGGCTCGCGGAAGCGCACGGCGGGCATCGGGTAATCGGCACGATCCGCATAGCATGCTGTGCCGTTCCAGCCAAAGCCGACAACCTCGCGCTTGCCGATCTTGTCCAGAGTGTGAACTGAAGCAACGCTGCCCACCTGGGCGTTGTGTGGCAACTGGGCGGCCAGCTGGCGGCGCAGAGCACTGTTGATTAGTCTAAGAGCCATAGTTCAGAGCTGCAACGATAGAGGGAGCCATTTTAGGATTGCATTTGCTAAATGTGTGTATCCAAAGGGGGTGCGGGGGTGACGCATCGCAGGTTATGTAACAGCAGCACGGACTACGTGCATAACGAATTGCATAGTTAAGCAAACATTTGCAGCTTCGGCTGCGGCTGGAGTAATTTAAGAAACAGCTATATATATTTGCAGCCCACGACGCAAATTTAGTCTTTTTTTTTTGCTAGCGTTCGCCTTGTGGTAGCTGTTGTGTAATCGAAGACTTTTTTCACTGAGTTTCCAATGTCTCCATTGCTGCTTTTAAATTTAATCAGTAGTTGTATGGGACAGTCAACACTTAATTACACTTTACCAACGAATTCAAGTGGGTAAAAGGAAATGCACAATAGCAACCTTTCAATTTAAAAACTATATCACAAATTACCAATTCTGTTTTCGGCCACGGATTGTTCTCAGTAGAGTCTGTTATCGGTTCGTATGAACTAGTCATTACCAAAAACGTTTAGTTCATTAGCTCACAATTTGCTCACAAACAGTAATCGATATATCGGCTTAAAATATCGTACTCACGTGTTGGCATATTTTATTGTGTCATTCTGTAGATAACCAACAGATGGCGCACTATAGTTACTCTCGAAATGTCTATGAGCTTCGGCTTCTCAACAGAAGATGGTGCTATAAACATAAGAAGTTTGGTGGGAAACGACTTTCATCGAATGTTGTATCGTACTAAAACAATTAAATGAATATCGTTTATTATTATATAGATTTAAGTTTATTTGATTTTGATTTGAGTTCACATCTCATGAATGTACACATTTAAATTAGACAGACAGGACATATAATTATTAATATTGTATTTTATATTCGTAAATGTATTTTAGTTCTGTTAGTGTTGTTGCAGTATTCTTTTATTATTGTTGTTTTATTTAGGAGTTGTGCTTGTTAAATTTGCTATTTGTTTAGGGAAACTTTTGGGGGTCATTACGTATTTGTTTTCATTTATGAGCGCGTTTATTATGCTGATGCGGCCAAGCGCTGTATATGGCATATTAATATCGTTTAAATAGTTAATCTCCTCCTGTTTATTCTTCTCTTACTTTGTTTTTGTTTTATAAATATGCAATATGTTTGTAACAATATTTAATGATAATTACGCAAATAATTAAACTAAAGTGAAAGCTTTTTCCATTAAATGTACATCTTGTAAATATTGGTAGTAGCAAAAACTTAGGGCTACATTTACAATAGGGTTTTCCTTTCGTTTTCCGATATTATATTATGTTAGGGTATAAAATGCTGATACCATTGTAGAAATTGTCACTTAAATATAGTTGGGGTTGTTTTTTGGTTTTCTATGTACAAAAGTGTGTTAGTTTTCCCTTAGCGGTTCTTTAACATTTTATGTTGGGATTTCCTTTTTGTTTTTTTTCTTTTGGTTTATTTCATTTTTCGCTTGCGCTGAGTTTTACTATGTTAGTTCTGAATGTCTAGTTAGATGGGTGATCATAGAGTTTTCTTTTTGATTTTGGGAAACTTGCATTTTTAACAAGTGCGCTAAAAAGTGCAATTCTACATTTTGTGGTGGAGAGAGGGAGAGAGGGGGGAGATAGAGAGAGGTATTAGAGAGAGGAGAGAAAGAATTAGATGTCATGATTGTACACTCAGAGAAGTCCGGTGAGTGATGCGAGTCTTGGCAGCAATTGTTTTCCTTTATAGCTGAAGAAATCAGATTTAGCTCGTCCCCATTTCTCTGAGTGTACTTAAATAGTTTATTGGCTTGGTGCAAATGGAAAACTCTTGGAACTGCTTTAGAACTTGATTGCAAAAGTAGTACAAGAATATTCCTTTGTGATGTGTGTGTGTGCGCGTGTGGGTGTGATAGGGACTTTCAGTTACAGCGCAAGCAAAAAATGTGAAACTTTTAATTTGGCATGTTAGAAGTTAAGATCTGTGAGTGGAGTCGATCTACTCAGCGCCCGCTGAGCTGTCGGGCGTCACGTTTGAGTCCAGGCTGGCGCAGTCGGACTCCTGCTCCTGTGTCTCCGAGTAGTTGGCCGCCTCCTGCAGGCGCATCAGCATGTTTAGCTGAAAGAAAGGCGCAATTAGGAATCTATTTGGAAGAAGAGAAGCAGTGCGAGTTGCAGTTGCTTACCAATGGATCCTGTTGCTCGCCGTTGCTGAGAGCCACGCCCTCTAGGCCCACATCCTCGGCGTTGATCTGGCGCAGCGGGGGCACCGAGTCCGGGCCGTAGGGCCAGGGATAGGAGTTGCGTATGAAGGCCGACGGATCGTTCCAGGCGCCGCCCCTTCGGCCATAGAGCTGCACGCCCTCGCGCACCGCCTCGATTAGGTAGGGCGACAGATGGTAGTTCCAGATGTCGGTGAACCACACCTGCGAGTCCTTCAAGTCCAGCGGGCAGGAGAGGAACAGCCGTGGTCCAATGGTCACGTCACTGGAGCTGTGCACCTCCAGGAAGCGGTTGATGTGCTGCCAAACGGATGGCAGCCAGGCGAGCACCGCCGCCAGCTCTGGCTGTGCCTGCTGCGTCTGCAGCTCCAGCTGGAACTGGCGACGACGCAAGAAGCGACCCAGGAAGCCCTTGACAGGCTCCATATGATTGGCTGTGAGCACCTGCCAAGCGAAAGAGATTGAATGAGTGGAGGACAGGACAAGTGAGAACGTTTCAGTCGGGCACTACCGACTGCACAATACTCATTTGACTTATTTTCATACGAACGGACGGACGGACCACACGACGGACATTGCACGAAAAGAAAGAGAAATATGTTCGACCTACCCAGCGGAAATTGTGATGGAGCTGCAAATTGGTCGTGTTGCAGGTGGCCTGCGACATGGTGCCGATGATGCAGGGCAGCTTGGTGGCCGGCCCGGCGCTGAGCAGACAGGAGAAGACATCGCCCAGGGCGGAGGCGTGGTGCAAGTTGTCCAATATGATCACAGATGGCAGCTCCGAGGCACCGTTCGCTATGGCCGCCTGCTCGGCAATGTGGCCCAGATATTGTCGCAGATCCTTCGAGGTCTTGTGATCGACGCTGTTCATGGATGGAGAGAGAGAGAGAGAGAGATTCTTTAGCATGTGTCATGCAGAGGATAGAAAGAGAGACGACTACTCACTTGAACGTGGCAATGGCCTCTGAGGGATTGCCGCGGCCAGCCCGTGCCACCAGGAACTCGGCCAGGCGTCGCGCCAGATAGGACTTGCCCGTGCCGCTGGGGCCGCACAGGATGAGACGTCGGTGCTCGGTGAGCAGACTAATGTAGCGATGCACGATGCTGCGTGGAATGAGGCTGTCGAAGGCCAAGCTGCCGACGCCCTGCAGGCAGATGTAGAGGGTCTTCACGTTGCCCACGATGTAGCCGCAGGGCAGCAGCTCCGGGAAGCCCATCTCGGGGCCGCGCTTCGCCTCGCCCAGGTGGTACGATGTAATGGAGTCCGTGTTGAGGCCCAGATTGGTGCCGGGATCGATGCGAGCCACGTAATCCTTGAAGGTCTTGCGCACTATGTAGTCCAGGTTCTGCCAGGTCGTCTTGCCCGAGATGTAGGTGCAGGCGATGACGAACTCATTGCCCTGGCGCTCGCCCTGCTGCACCTGTCCCGGCCCCGGCCCCGGCCCCTGCGCCTGGCCCTGCGCCTGCTCCGCCTCGTGGCTGGCAATGATGGCCCCGTTGGCATAGAAGTCGTCCAGCTCCAGCATCTCCTCGCAGTACTTGGCGAAGGACTCGGGCTGGCCCAGGTAGCAGGCGATGGCTATCTTCTTGCCGTCGCACACATCGGGCAGCTCCTCCACGGCGCCACAGCTGGCCATGTGCACCGGGCTGCTCAGCTGTCCAGCTTCCAGCGCTGGCGGCGGCGGAGTCAAGTCGATGTGAGTATTCGGACTCAGCGGCGCTGCGCCGTTCGGGGCGCAGGGCGCTGGCGGTGGTGGTGGCTCTGGTGCCGGAGCTGGGGGCATGCACTCCTCCTCCAGCTCCTCGGTCAGACGGGGCGGCAGCTCCATGGGAGGCCGCGCATTGCCATCGGCCAGCGAGTAGCGTCGCGAAGCATCCGAGCCGCCGGCACCGCCTCCGAGCGAGCCGTTCGGGCTGATTGCCTGGCCGAGGCTGGCCTCGGAGCCGGCGAGCGAGCGACTGGTGACCAGCTTCTGGAGCCGCTCGTTGTTCTGCTTGAGCGACATCATTTCGGCGCGCATCTTGTTCATCATGTCCTTCAGGCTCTCCAGCTGGGAGGCCGAGCTGAGCGCCTCGAGCCGTATGTCCGTCAGCACCAGGTCCTTCTCGCGCAGCTGCTTCTTCAGATCCTCCACCACGTGGTGATCCTCCCCGTCGATGGCATCGATGGGCTTCGCATTGTCGATCAGGGTCACCGTCTTGGCCGGGCTGCTCTGCTTGCTGGATGCATTCGCCACGGGCAGCGGCGGCGCCGGCTGCGTGGCCAAGGCCGCCAAGCCCAAAGGCTCCCCATGCCCATGGCCATGGCCATGTCCGTGCCCATTGAGCACTGATGCCTTGCCGGAGCCGTGCTCGTGCTGTTGCTGATGGTGCTGGCCCACATGGCGGCTCGTCTTCGAGATCTTGGCGTTGCGGGAGAAGGCCTTGGTGAAGCTGCTGCGCAGCCATCCCTTCTTCTTGTTGGCCTTGTTCTTGTCCTGCGCCGCCGAGCAGCCCGAGCTGATGGAGTTCAGCGAGCACATCGAGTCGGTGCTGTGCTGTCGCTGCATGCCCAATCCCGATCCCAATCCTAAGCCATTGCCGTTGCCATTGCCATTGCTAGTTCCATTTGCATTTGCATTTGCATTGCCTCCGCGGCTATTCGCTGCGGGCACTGGCGGCGGCTTCTGCTGCAGCATCAGCTCGTTCTGGGTCTGGCCCTGGGTCTGGACGCCCATGCTCTGCATGTGCGCCGTGGTCAGGCCCGCCTGAATGGACTGCTTGCGCAGCAGCTCAATCGTCTGCCGCATATCCGTCAGCTCCCCGTCCTTGCGCTCCGCCGTAGCCGTCAGCTGCTGCAGTCGATTCGTCATGTTCGTGAGCGACTGCTCGAACGCAGACACCACATGGGCCTGGGGAACACAGGAGAGAAGGAATACATTCAATTTAGGTTCTCAATTGCTTACAATTAGTTAATTTATATTTTTAATTACTGAATAGACAAATATATAGTTAAATAGAAAATTCTCCACTTAAGCCTCGATGAGAAATCCCACGAAAATATCTTTTTTCGAAAATCAATTAGTAATCAATCATATTTCATCATTATGAAGTTCTTGAATGGACAAATGGTATTCAAACATGTCAACATAACTATAACGGCTAGTTTGAGCAATAATAATAATATTTGAAATTGAAATACATGGATGTGTTCATTGAGATATAGAAAATGCAGTTCAAATGATTTTAGTTCTCACATGGAGAGAGTCTTTTATAAAAATATAACTGACTTTCAATTTCCAGAAAAACAAATTCAATTAAATTATTATTATTTCAATTATTAAATTAGCATAATAAATAAATACATAAAGAATATATAAATAAATAAATTAATTATTAAATGAAAAGAAAAAGGCCTTACTTTTTTCCTCATCTTTATCAAACCCTGAACTACATGTATTCTTAAGGTAATAAAGTTAAAAAAGGTAAAATCTGTAAATCGTTTTAAATCGATTTGAAAATCTTGAATTACTCAATAAATTCTGTTGTCAATATTAAACTCCAAGTCGCAATGTTATTGTAAATTACATAACTGGATGATATAATATGTGATTTAATATGATATTAATATTTATAATAATATAAACATATATTTACAAGTATAATTACTATCATTTTATAGCCAGAGCAGAGCAGGCTTTTAGCATAGGCCTGGCCACATCACTTTTATATGAGGTAGAATTATTTAGTTCGTTAACAAATTACTTAGTTCGTTTAACAAATGAATGATTAATACAGCTGCGAGTCGTCAGATTTAAGTTGACTTTGCTTTAATCGCGCAATGTGCAACTGGTTGCAGTTGAAAGCATTAGCAAAATAGCTGCGAATAAGACAGAGCTGGACTCTTCAGTGTCTGATGATCATTGATTTAATTACTTTTTACGTTCAACACATAAAGTTCATCGCATTCGCCTTGGATTTGATATAAACTGAAGTTGAGCTCCAATCGTGAATGACTCGAATGGCGACGTTTTTTCCACTCACTCAACTACTCAGGCAGCGGCAGAGAATAGAGAATGGAGACAATGATTGCTTGCAATTTATAGTAACAATATATTCATATTATTAGACTCAGGCCATCTGCCAAATTATTGGGCGACTCAGACGACTCAGACAAAGACTGCAAAAATTATATTTATTGGCAAAGTTCAGTTAACTTGTAGCCAAAATTTGTTTGGCCGTGTGGCAAGTGGCTGGGCTGGTAGTTGGGCTTGCGGGACATTGAGTGCTTGTTGCATCGATAATTCATCATCGCAATTGAGTGCCCCGTCCCAGGTCCCCCCTTTGCACCGCAGCTATGCAGCCCGCACGTCACAATCGTGCATCGCATTTTAAGCCCTGATTGATATGCAAGTGGTTTCGCAGCAACAAAAGCCCCAGCAACAGCAATAGCAACAGCCACAGCAACAACACCAACACCAACAACAGCAACAACTGATGTCTGATGTCTGAGGACAGAGATGACTCATGAGTCATGACTCCTGGTGTCTGAGTCTCTAAGCGCAGCTTTAAAAACTTCTTTCAAAACTTCTTTCCTTCGCCGCCTTCACAGCCCACCCTCGCTGAACCTCTCCACAGACACCTGTGTCATAAACTAGCATTAGAAGCAATGCCCAGCTCCTCAGCTCGCCAACTGCTTAGCTCCTCTGCTCGTACTTCACTCAGTTGGCTGCTTTGTTGCCCGGCCACAAGTTCATGAAATATTTTTTATGATGCGACGTGACCCAGGCGCTCTTCATGGCTCTCGGCGTTGGCGGCGAGGTCACTTTGTCAGCGAAATGCAACAACAGCTTTGAGCACATTAATTCAAGCAGCGAGAAGCTTAGAGAACTGCAGAGTGCAGAAGGCAGAGGGAAGAGTGAAGAGTGAAAAGAGCTGCGCAGCAATGAGTCCGTAACGACATCAACCTAATGAGCTCTAATAGTGCTGCAAAGGCAAGTCAGAAATTAGTAAACGAAAAACTGACTGCTTTCTTCCCTCTCTCTCTCTCTCTCTCTAGAGAATCAGAGCAAACTTGTAAAATATACTTGAAGCTATAGTTTTAGTGCTTTGCAATTTAAGATAAGTTTTAACTGTGATATATCTTATATTATATTGATGTCTGTCAAATCATCTGATAAACTGATATTCCCGCTTTGCACACTCTAAGCAGAGTATAAAGTGTTTGTATAAAATGACTCAGCGCGGAAGTTGTAATTGTGATTTGCCGTCGAAGGGTAGACGATAAAAGGGAGAAAAGAGCAAAAACAGACAGCAGGAGGAGGAGACAGCAGGAGGAGGCAGCAGCAGCTAATGCTGGAGTGGCATCAATAGCTACTGAGGGAGCGAGCAAATGAATCATTGAATGGATGAGCTGAGGGAAATGCATAATGAAGCCAACTAATGACAGCCGGTTGCATCTGCAGCCTTCGACTTATTAAGTAATTGAGTTAGGGAAACAAGTTAAATGTCTTTACGCATTAGCTTCGATTGTCGCTGGAGCACGGAGACATTATTTATGAAGAGCATACAAAAGAAAGTTTCACCCAGGCAAAGGCAGACAAATGAGAGGCATTTGAATGGCTCAAACTGCTTTAGCTTAGTTTAGACTTGATCCGTTTAATTTGACAGCAAGTTGAACAAGATGCAGTTCTTCTTATATAGATTTTCCGATAAAAACAAAACAGCTAGGGATAGGTTTTCTCTTTCCACAAAACTGTTCCTAAGAAGTTAATAACAATTTGTGAATAGGTTCGTAGATCTTGCATAAATTTAGCTGGCTGTTAATTGACTAACATTAGCATTGGCATGTGGTTAATTCATAGGAAATTCATAATCCACGCTGCTTGCATGATATCATCGAGTCTGAGCCAGCTTTTCAACTATCTGTATAGAGCTACGCCCCGCTTCATTAATTGAATCTGTGAGCGAATCGGAAGACGCTGACTAAACGCTATCGCAGTTATTTATTAACCAAAAGCGACTTCTGTATCGCATCGCCCCCCCTCCTCCCCTTTCGACTACGTGCCCATGTTTCGTTTATTGATAAGCATCTAACACGTTTCACATTTTAATTTGCGTGTCGCTTATGCAAATTGAGGCGAGTCGACACGCTCAAGCACAGCGCAAAAAAGCTTCTTATATAGTATAAATCAGTTAATGAAAAGCTAAAGCCGAAGCCACAGCCAACTGAGCTCTGGGCCACTTCTCGAGCTCAACTTGTTGACAGAGTTCAAGGTCGGCGCCTAAGCAGCTCGAGCTGAGCTCATTTTTAATAGTTTTTATTGCTGTTTACTTTGCCTCGGACTCTTCCCTGCGCAGCTATCGATCCATTTTTATAAACTGTTTGATAATTCACTTTAATTGCTTTTGCACAAAGCACAAAGCACAAAGCACAAAGCGGAATTCGGCACGAATCGCCAGCTATTGTAGAATAAAATGCCATAAAATTCTATTGGAGTGTGGAGAGGTTAACTCGCATAGCCAGATATTCATATAGAGGTATATATGCTCTTATAGAGCTGTGATATATCCCGTTAGGCATCTCGCTTGCGGTCTGTGGGGCATTGTTGCGTGCCCTTGGTGGCATTACGCATACGCACCGTAATCAATTTTTATGTTTCGCCTGCATACGTGAGTCGGCTGAATAAATGTGCAAAGTTTTTGAGGTGGGAGCTGTGGATGCTGAGCTCATGGAAGGGTTATCTAGGATGCTGTTTAGAGTCGAGCACGTGGCTCTTTAATTCAGAGCTGTTGATTGTTATGTGGGGCTGGAGTGTGGCAGCACGTTTATCGCAGAGAGTGAAGCATAATTTAATTAGTCTGGCAACACTGCTAGGAGCAGGATCTCCCTTTTCCACCACGAAATGGCACGCATACTAATTATTTTCAGTATTATGCCAACTATATGGAGCAGTGAAAGGGGGGAAGAGAGTTTAAAATTCAGGGGGCGGGTTAAAGGCGACTTCATAAGTACAACGATCTGGCAACCTTGTCGAGTCGCTGGCCACTCTTAGAAAGTTGAAAGCAATCAGAAAAATTATAAATAATTTGTGGAACAAGAGAAACGTTCGCAATTGACAATGAAAAACTACAACCGGAAGGGCATCAAATTGAGCTGAACAACAACAACAACAGCAGCAGCAAAAGCAACAACAGCAGCAGCAGCAACAACTGCAAAGAGAGACTTCTTTCAGCAACTGTTGCTGCTCAACTATATATATGAAGTTGCTCTCAAACTGTGTGGTTTTTTGTCTGCAATGTTGCGATTGTTGTTTGTTGCTAATGTTGCAGTTGTAGTTGCACTTTCAGTTGTAGCTGCAGCTGCAGTCGTTGTTGTTGTTGTTGTAGCACTTCATTAGCACAACGATGGCAACGAAGCGTAAAGAAACGCGTTACGCCTCGACGGGCAATGTTAGCCAAAGAGGGAGAGGGTGACCGAGAGAGACAGATGGAGAGTGGAAGAGAAGAGAGAGAGAGAGAGAGAGAGAGAGAGAACGAAGGCATATGGAAAGTCAGTTGTGCAGAGCTCCATATGCTAAACAAGTTCAACAAAGGCAACAGCAACAATAACAACAACAACAAACAATTGTTGCCAACTTTAATTTGGCTGTGCAAGTCGCTGGCGGGGGAGTTGTTGTTGTTGTTGTTGTTAAAGTTGCTGTTGCTGCAATGTTTAATTTATTGCTTGCAATTTGCAGACAGCACAACACAAAGTTCAAGTTCAATGGCAACAGCAACGACAACAACAACTTGTTAACTTTGTTCTTTCTCTGTCTCTCTCTCTCTCCATCTTTTCTCTTTTTGGTCTGCAAGTTTTCAGCTAACTGCGACAAGTCACCGCTGCTGATAGCCTTCGTATCAGCCATAGATA